GCAGGGGAATCGGTTCCCCTATTACAATCTGGAAAATTTTAACATTCGAGTATTGTTCACGATGTTGTTCATTATTGTTCATAGTATTTTCATTATTGTTCATACAGTACTGTTCATATCATATTTTATTGTTCATAAATACGTTTTTTGCCTCAAAATTTTATCACAAACACAATTTAATAATATATTATCGTATTTTCTTAAAATGAGTTCAAATGTTTTGATATTTTGTAAGAATATCGTTTTTAAAAGTTAATGTGACATCTCAGACTCATATCTGGGTCGGGTACGGGTTGGGGTGTTAAGACCAAAGTTAGCAAACATTTTTTTAGATATTTGTAATACATGCTAGGTGTTATGATATTTACGATATATGTAGATTGGTACTTGTAGTATTCCAAAGGTCGTCGTTATCCTAAGACGTAATGGAGAGATTGAAATTATAAATAAGCATAAAAATGTAAGACATCATAGTAAAATAGATATAGTAACTATAGTAACTCACATCATTGTCATAATCTGCGAGACTGTACGACCATTCAATTTCGTTTGAAAAAATTCCATTTATGTAGGTTTGTACTTGTTTCCAAACTGAGCTTTAATTGAGGACATGTTACTTTGTTATGTCCCTCACCGTTGCAGAACCCACATCGCCTAATTTTCTCATGGACCTTATTCTTGTGTACTTTTCGCTTTCCTTGCTTTCATTGTGGGTCGCGAACGTCGTTTACACCATTGCTTCAGTGAACTAAATCTTTTAAACTAAACGAGTGTTCAAATTCGACAATTAGTCTTTTCATCTCATCTCTTGCGGTTATGAAAGACGCATCAATCTTTGATACAATTTTCATGATAAAGTATCGATACACATATATAAAGTATTGAGTTTTATGCAATATCTTCAATGTATATGTATCGATAATAGTTATGACAGTATCAATACTTTTTTTCCAATATGCTCTCTCAAATAATTTGCATGAAAAGGTATCGATACATACATATCAAGTATCGATATTGTTTATTTCGATACAAAATATGCAATATCTGAAATGTCAAAGTATCGATACTAGTTATAATAGTATCAATATTTTTGTTGCAGTATGCTCTCTAAAACAATTTGCATGAAAAAGTATCGATACACATATATAGAGTATTGATATTTATAATTTCAAAACAAAATATGCAATATCTGAAATGTCAAAGTATCGATACTTGTTATGACAATATTAATACTTTTATTCCACTATGTTTCTCAAATAATTTGCACGAAAATGCATCGATACACGTATATAAAGTATCGATGTTTATAATTTCGAAACAAAATATACAATATCTTCAACGTTAAAGTATTGATATTTGTTATAACAATATCAATATTTTTTTCCAATATGCTTCTCAAACAATTCGCATGGAAAATATATCAATACACATATATAAAGTATCAATATTTATAATTTCGAAACAAAATGTGCAATATCTAAAATGTCAAAGTATCAATACTTGTTATGTATCAATTTTTTTTCAGTATGCCTTAGTACAATCTATGTAATCAATATCAGTTTCAATGAATGCATATTCTTTTTGGAAATGTATTGAAACTTGCAAAAAAATGTATTGACACTTCAACCCTGATCAAAATGCATATTTTGTTTCAAAATTTTCAATATCAATACTTACAATATTTGTATAGATATTTTGTAAAGATAATTTTTTTAGATACCAGTCTGACTGCATGTATCTATACTTTCACTAAAAGCATTGATACTTGAACATTCAACAAAATGGATGGTGTGCTTTAAAATTATAAATATTGTACTTCATAATCTGTATCGATATTTTGTTATGCTCATTTTTTGTCAAGGCATACTGCCGAAAAAGTATCGATATTGTTATAACATGTATTGATACTTTGACATTTTAGATATTGCATATTTTGTTTTGAAATTGTAAAGGTCGATATTTTATATATGTGTATCGATACGTCCTCTTGCAAAATGTTTAAGAAAGCATAATGGAAAAAAGTATCAATATTGTCATAACAAGCATCAATACTTTGACGTTGAAGATATTGCATATTTTGTTTCGAAATAAGCAATATTGATACGTTATCTATGTGTATCGATACATTTTCATGCAAAATGTTTAAGAGAACATACTGAAAAAAAGTATTAACCGATTATGTTGTAAATATTTTACCGGTTACATTATTATTAACCCTATAAACAAACGGTAGCAAGTTTAAAGTAATAGGTTGCACCTAAATTTTTTTAACCGGTTAGGTTTTAAATATTTTACCGTTTACATTATCATTAACCCTATAAACAAGCGGGTAGCAAGTTTAAAGTAATAGGTTGCGCCAAAATTGTTTTAACATGTTAGATTATAAATATTTTACTGTTTACATTATTATTATACTGGCATATAGTTTAACGTAATAGGTTGTGCCTTGTTTTTATTAATTAGGCGCGTTTTTTCTTTGTTATTCAAAAAAATATCTATCCTCATACAATTGGTCTCGATAATTATTCAACTAGTTATAATTTTTTCCAACTTTTATCTATATTTTGCTCCCCAAAAGGTAGATATCTCTTCCACTATGACGAATACCACCATTCAAAAAAATTGTACAGTTAAAGCTTCTTTAGCAATTTGGCCCAAATTTCATTAAATTGCTTCTAAATTTTTATTTTTATTGTAATTTATTTAAATTGGGTTGTGACAAATTTTACATACAAATCTTATCGTAATAGCTGCAAAAAATGGGTCCAGTCGAAGGGATTTTTCGATAGTAAGCTATGTCCAAAGATTATCCTGAAAATGTATCCATACCTATACTATATGTATCGATACCTATACTTTTGATCTTTTTTCTTATGTTAACCGGTTTAGTTAACATTAAAATAAAATAGGCGTTACCTATTATTTTAAACTAGTTACCGGTTTGTTTGAAGGTATAATACTAATGTAAACGGTAAAATATTTACAACTTAACCGATTAAAATAAAATAGGAACTACCTATTACGTTAAACTAGGTACCGATTTGTTTAAAGATATAATATTAATGCAAACGGTAAAATAAAATAGTCGCAACCTAACGTTAAACTAGCTACCAGTTTGTTTAAAGGTATAATAATAATATAAACGGTAAAATAAAATAGGCGCAACATATTACGTTAAACTAGCTACCGGTTTGTTTTAAGGTATAATAATAATGTAAACGGTAAAATAAAGTAGGCGCAACCTATTACGTTAAACTAACTACCTGTTAGTTTAAAGGTATAATAATAATATAAACGGTAAAATATTTACAACTTCACCATTTGAAATTTTTTTAAATTTCGAAAGTATTGATACTTGTAGGTTGATGTGAGGGGAGTTCATCAACTTTTTCAAAAATATCGATACATCATATATCAATTATCGATATTTTAACATTCATCAAAATTTCAAATTCTAAAGTCTTGATAATAGTCATCAAAAATCTAAAATTCTAAAAGTATCAATATCGGTATTAATAATTTTTCTGAATACGTATCGACACATATACACTAAGTATCGATATTAATAATTTTCATACAACTATACCAAGTATCTATACTGAGTATAAGAGTTTCAATACATCTACACTAAGTATCAATTACTTTGATTAAGACAATAATGTTTACTTATAAGGAAGTAGGAGAAACCGAAGTATTGATATTTTCCGTAAGTATCAATATTTTTACAAAGATATTTTAATGGAATTTTTTAAATAATTAACTTTCGATCTTAACATTTCAATTTTTTTCAAATTAACAAGTTTCTAAAATGCTAAAATATTGAACATCATAGAAATAATATCAATATTTGCTAAAGTATCGACCATCAGATCATAGTAGTATCGATATTTATTTTAAAAACAATTTCCTCCAAAGATACGTAATATATTAAATTGCTACTGAACTTTAATATTTCAGATTGCAACATACTTTTTTATTTACAATAACATTATTGGGCGCAACCTAGTATATTAATATTTATTTATAATAAAATAAGTATTTAACCTATTTTGTTGTTGTGAGATTTCTAAGGCCTCGTCAGCTTTAACTTTGATAACATATTAGACACAATCTAATATGTTGATAATATTTATAACAAAATAAATAATTAACATATTTTATTATTGTGAGATTTCTAAAACCCTATCAGTTTAAACTTTGGTAACATTTTAAGCGCAACCAAATATGTTGATAATATTAATAACAAAATAAGTAATTAATTTATTTTGTTATCGTGAGATTTCTAAAGCCCTATCAGCTTAAACTCTCATAATATTTTAGGCGCAACTGTTATATTATAACTAACCTAAATTATTAAAGTCAATATTTTTTTGACCCATTTTACGTACAACAATAACATTTCTAGTTATTACCATTATTATTATCAACACAAATATTTTCAGTATCACATTCAACCGATCACACTATTTTTTAATCATATTTTAACCTCCTCACACCAGAAACTACCGTTAAAATCAGACTGATGCGAATAACACATTTATCTTAATTCAATTTACTACACTTACCAATATACCCATTTGGTCCCTTGCCTTGATTGCTTTCCCTTACGAGATGTCCTTTTTAAAGTAAACTGGCATTGGTTAGAGTGGGGAGGAAGGTTTAAGATGACAAAAGCTCATCATGTGATTATAACCACACATGTCTGACTGCTTTTGACTTGAGAGAACTGATTCAAAGGACATAAATGATGGTGACTATTCATCACCATCCCCATTCATACATGCATTCTCTCAGATTTTTCATTTAAATCATTTTAATATTGATAAGTTTCACCATCAATATAAAAACGGGGTCTTGTTATTATTATATCAATAATACCAATATATACAACTGTATAAGGCTGCAAAACAATGTCGTTAAAGACAACATAAAAAAAAGTCAGGATCTTGATGTAATAAAAAAAACATTCAATAATTTTGTTAGTGAGACTTAGGGTAGACTTTTTTAGATGATTGAATGCAAGCCATTTTGGTGAGGCCAAGTTTGGGAAGAAGGTCTAATCTACGATGGGAATCCTGATGATGCTGCAGAATTTCCAAACAACTGGTGAGGACCTGATTGCCGCTGTTGATTATCACAGCTTGATAGTGAAAGGTCAGTACTCCCAATGGGGCCTCCATTGCTGCTTCTTGGAAAATGAATCTGATAATTAATACACACAAATATGTTTTAAAAAAGGAAAGTAATTTAATGTCCAATCAATCAAAACACACACCTGATAAGTTGATGGACTAATGCGAGGAGGAATAATGTGAAACTGTCCGTTATACTTGGTTGTAGCTGGAGATTGAATGTGTGCTCGACTCAACAGCTGCATTGTTTCTTCCTCGATATATCCATCCGATCTTCGGTGATGGGCTTCATCAGTTCTAAATTGTCCCTGCTGCAGATTTTAACTGGGTTTGAACCGTATGATCAACTAAAAATGAAATCAGTCCACTGTAAAATTATATACCGACCTTAAACCTAAATCCCTGATGTTGCCAATCAGTTGCTTCAAATGGTAGATTATGCTGATAACCCATGCCACTTTGACTATCAGCCCCAGGTTTTACAATGTTCGGGATCGAGTTAGAGTTTGAATTCCCTAAACTTAAGTCGAGGTTGTGATCTCCGGCGTTACCCGAAGCTTCTAAACAAATAAGAAGCATAAAGAACGAATTTAGCATAGAAACCATTTGAAGGGATAATAATGAATGAATTATACGATGAAATTTAATTTACTTACCACCAGAATTATTAAGCTCGTTTTCGTATATGCTGGGATCAAAGTTAGTAACAGCGTCTTTGCCATTGCACTTAATTGCAGCTCTGTCATAAGCCCTACAATAACGGACCAGACACTTTCATAAACTTTTTTTTACTGCCTTGTCTTGGAACATCAAAAATAAAGGAAAATACACGTACCTAGCTGCTTCAATCTCGGTGTCAAACAAGCCTAAATAAACATACCTGTAAGAAGACAATTGAACAGCTCAATAAAGAAACGAAGAAAATATTATTTGCAAAGATAAAAATGTTAAGAAATTTATAAAAAAATGTTACTTTTTGCCTAAAAATTGGCCCATTCGAGCTTCCCATCTCCCACATTTGTGTAAAGTAACTCCTCTATATTTGGAGCTTCCTCTGGGAAAACCGGTGCTTTGTCGGCGAAGAACATGCACAAATTCTTCCTTGGTTAGGTTACTCATCTGTTATGCAACAAAAAGACAAAGAATCTTTACTTTTTCGTAACACAAGATAAACTATGCAATTATTCGTTGTCTTAAAGATCACCTGTTTCAAATCTTCCTTGTAGTCTTCGATGCTAAAATTTATATCGGCTTCTAATCCCCGGAACTTGATTGCTGCCCTATCGTATGCACTGCAAAAAAATATCAAGTTTTTGTTGAGTCTTTCCCCATTGTTTTCTTAGCGTAATAAAAGGGAAAAAAAGGTCGAGACTTGAAAGCTCACCGAGCAGCCGCATGTGCTGTGTCAAATCCACCTAACTCGGCCGAGAAAACAAAGAAATCAGACACGAAAATTTGTCTGAAGAACTTATAAAACTCATTCGAAGAAAGTACAGTACTCATACCTAAATAAACTTGTTTTCCACAATCCCTGTACGTCAAATGACAAACCCAAAAACACCTTAACTTCTGATTGGCTTAGATATAGTAAAAAAGAAAATGAAATTTTTTAGTTTTTTTGTTGTGATTTCAATGAGAAAAAAAACTGACCAAATATGAGACTCCCATCTGCCAGTTCTTCTATAAAAGGTAACTCCTCTATACTGAGAGCTTCTCGACCTTGGTCCTCTCCTGCTTTTCTTCATCGGGTGCGAAGCTTCTCCGGATCTTTCCGGTGCGAGAGGCTCCGATTGGCAGAATCTGACACCGACCCAGTGAGCCTGGGGGAAACCTGAGGATGAACCAGTTTCCTGGTCCTGATCGAGAGGGAAGAACTGGTGGGTCACGGGAGGAGGGTCACTCTCCATTGAGCACTCTTCTACTTCGTGAGGCACCGAGAAACCGAAAATCTTGCTACTTCTCTTCTTTAAACCTGCTTTAATTCGCTCACCATCTTCTTCTTCCGATCCATCCTCGAACACCAAAGCGGAAGAGTTCGAATTCGACACGGATCCGACCCGTTTTCCCTTGTCTTGATCTCCGTCTACGGAAGTCTTCTGCGACGAACAGCAGCCCTCGGATTCATGGTCTCTAGGTTGTTGATACGGCGAGTCATTAAGATCCCACATTTTCCCCTTTCTCGGCTTATAATCTCAACCAAAAAACAACAAACTCAAAAAAACATCATCACCAAACAAAGAAGGGCCAGAAAATTCAGAAAGAAAACTAAAGAAGAAGAAAAAACTCTCTTCTTTTATCTCTGCCTTAACTTTATACGTACAAAGTGAAGACAAACAAATGAGTGAAAGGTTAAAGGAAAGGTATGAGAATTGTGAGATAGCTAAAAGATAGTAATAGCTAAGGAAGGGTTAGAGAGGAGGGGAAGATGTAAAAAAACTCAAGCTGCTCAATGCAAAATAGACGAGGCAATTTTGAGTTAAACCTTGTACCCACAATCTCATCCTTTATTACTAAATATCTTTTTTTCCCCTCTTTCTTACCACTTGCTTATATATATATATATATATATATATCATTTTTGTGCTTCGCCTTATAACCCATAGGGCTTAGAGATTTTTTTATATATTAAACGAATGAAAATAAACTTCAGCTATCTTTATTTTCTTTTGAAATGTCCCGATACATTGTCTTTAAAACTATAAATTTAAATGTGCTTAAATATAATTATTTTTATTTAAATTTTTAAAATATAAATAATTTTGATTTTATATCTAAAATGTTCATACATATTATGTGAAATTCCATACCATTTTGAATTTGTTAATTTCTTCAATAAAAAATAATATATTTCCTTATTAAAAATACCTCTAATAGGTTGAAAACTACGCCACGTCTCTTAAATAGTGGATTAATATGGTATTTAATTATACTAATTCATTTATAAGTTCATTAATTTAAAATTTTATGATGTGAAAAAATGATGTTTTCAACCTAAAAAAGTATTGGTTTTTAATATAATTTATTGTTTGTGTATATGGTTTATAACTCTAACACGTAGCATGTATAAATGATTGGACTAACAACTTTGAATGTCTAATATAAATATAATTATATTTTTTTATTTTAAGTGATTTCTTATTTGATATTCAAACTTTTCATAATGTATAAATAAAAAATAGTATTAACACAAAAAGTATTAAAACTTACATATATTGACTTATATTAAAATGTATATGTTTATTGAGCTAGAGAATATTTGAATTATTTAACTATGCTCAAATAATTATATTGGTTATTGAATTTTAAAATGCTTATTATTACAATGATTGTTTTATTAAAATATTATAAAATAAATATTATATAATATTATAGTAACCATTTTATAATATTTTGATCAATTTAATAATTATTTAAAACATAAAAATTGAATAAAAAATAATGATTTAAATGTAATTTAATTACATGTACTATTTTTCACCTTTATTGCCTAAATCAACTTTAGTTCTTTACAAAACTTTTCCCACGTTAACCAAATCGAAAAGCAATTTTACTAAGTTTCTTTATCTCTCATGAGTCTCTCTATAAATGGTACAGAGCCCCCAACCAATGGAAAAAGACAGCGGAAAAGAAGGCTCATTACTCAATTCCATTAATTACCTCATTTATCAATTCATCACGTAAATAATTTTAAAAACATTAATTGCTTTATTTAAGTCAATACATATATTTCAACTTCAAACAATACAAAATTACTTAAAATCCAATAAAATTATTTTTTAAAATGAATTATTTAAATAATCTTTATAATGTGGGGAAGGATGAGATAGGGAAATGGGAGTGTTTGTAGGGGTGTTCAAATGGGTAATTCGATTAATCGATCGAATCAAATTACCCAAATTTTATTAACAGTTAATCCAATCATTTTTTTCTAAAATATTTAATCGAACCAAACTAAGTTCGGTTAATTGGTCTATTAATCGAATTAACCAAAATTTATAAATAATATATATTAAATATTTAATATTTTTTGGTTATTCAGTTAATTTGGTCGGTTAATTCGATAAAAATCGAGTTCAAACACCTCTAAAATTAAATAATATATATAATATATTAAATGTTTAATAATTTCAATTAATTAGATTAATTAACTGATTTTGAACCGAATTAACTAAAACCAAAATTTTAAAATAACTTTAATCACTAACCGATCGAAGCCAAAATTAACTAATCAAAATTTCAGTTCGAAATGTTAATTCGATTTTAACTAAACAGTGAACACCCTAAGTGTTTAGGTATCCAGAAAAGGAAATGATAACAATGTAAGCAAAAAGGAAAAGCTTTCCGGAAATGTTCAATCCAATAATACGGGTAGTTATGCGGTACGAAATCATATTAGAAATTTATTATTTTTTTAATATTTTTGATAAAGTGTTATTTAAAATATTATTTTTTAATAAAAATATTATTTTCTCTAATTAATTTATTGTATAATCTAATATTAATATTTATGGTATAAAAAATAATATTTTAAATAAAAATTTACTAAAAATCTTAATATTTTAAGTAACGCTCAACATTAATATTTTTTAAAAATATTTTATGTAACATTTTATTAAAAATATTAAAAGTATAATAATGTTTCCGTAATATTTTTAATTAACCGTATTAAGCTGTACTTGATTCATCCAAAGAGTACGGGATGGGGCCCCACCATTTCTCACCCTCCCTTTTTCTGTTCCTCCTATTTATTGTGATACACGAAAATAGGTTTAGATATAACTACACAATCTAATTATTTTTTTATTTATATGATCTTTTATTCTTAGATTAAGTAATTTTAATATTTGAGATTAATTTTTTATTAATGATAATATATTTTTTAATGTATAAAACTTAAAATTTTAACCATACTCACATCAATACCACAATTAAAAATAATTTTTTATACTAACAACCAGTTGATATAGTGGATGAAACAATAGATTCATTAAGCAAGGTTAGTGGTTCAAATATAGCGTTTGTGAATGAAACAAACTGAATTGGAAAGGTCGCTCTCGTTTTTGCAGTAACTGATCTGGATTAGTCGTTTAATAAATTAAATACCAGTAATTAATTCAAACAAAAATATTTTTTATAACAGATTCTCAAATATTTCAACAACAAAAAAATAACAACCGAATAATAGAGATGGGGACCATCTTTTGAAGCTTACGGCAACTTTACTATTTACGTACATAATTAGATGCAATGCATTCATTAAATGCTATAAGGAGCAACCTTGAAAAATCAACCCCTAATTTTGTTCCAATTGTTCATATGGAAATGGAATAGATAGTTCTAAAATTTTCTTTTAACTTACTCAATATGGTTTCATTTTCTTACATTAATTATGTAATATTAGTTATTATTTTTTTAATACAAAAGGTTCAATATATATATTAAAGGGCTTGGACAAGGTGTGTTTGGACAATAATTGCAACATATCTTTCTCTAATTACAATAAATAATAATTAAAATCTTACAAATATTTTATGTAATTACACATAATTTAATAAAATTAATTAAATAAAGATAAAAAGTATGAAACTCATTATAATAGTTATTCGTGTAACTCGATTGATTTCCCTCAAAATATATCGATTTCTTTTCTTAAAAAAATATGGATCTCATTTAAAATTTTACACGATTAAGGAATCTACCGGACCAAATTTTAGGGTAAACTACAAGTTTAGTACCATAATTATCATTTTTGTTACGTTTAGGCATTTAACTATATTTTTAAATCATAGCTAATATTTAGTTTTGGTTTTATTTTGGTCACATTCCGTTAAAAAAATAACAGTAATGCTAAAGTGTTTCCATAAAATAATACCATGTTATAATCGAAAAAAAATAAAAAAATATCATATCAGTAGTTCTGTTAATTTTTTTAATAATAGGTGACAAAAATATAGCGTTAGGTATAATTTTGAAAGAATAAATAATTGGATGACCAAAATGGAACAAAATTAATAGTTGAGATACTAAAAGTGTAGTTTAATAATAAAAAATCCATGACAATTTTGTAAAATTTAATAATAAAAGAAATAAGTCTTTCATGTATATGCAATAAACAAGTGTCCCCATTTGTGAGAAAGGAAAAAAATAAAGAAACCATGGTTTCACATTGATTTCTGGTTGAGGGCTGGGCGATAAAAAATTATATAATTATTGGACTTGATTTGGAAACTTTCTTAAAAAGGAAATTCGTGATTGGCATGTGTAATAAAAAGAAAGAGCAATTAGCGTAGACAAAAAATATGAATACCTGGACCACCAACCCACTCCTCCCACATAAACGAAATGAGACTATAAATTAACCATTAACCATTGTGGACCTACTTTTATCAAAATTAAATTATAAAATTTCTATACAATATATAATGTATACGAAAAAAATAATTCAATGTGGTAATAAAGATAATATAAATATACATATGATTATATTTATCCTAAAAGAACAATTATATCAAACTAAAATTCTATTCGTCGTAGAAATAAATTTGGCTTCGGTAATTTTAATGAGAACACTCGAATCATGACCAATGTCTTGTTTTTTTTATTTGAGAGAATTTCTTTATTTTTTTATTGTAAAAAAATCATAAGGGATAAGGTTATCTATTAGAGTCTTTAATAATTAAATCAGTACAAACAATAGTTTATGAGTTGCGAGAAATTAGAAGATGACAAAATTAAAATTCGTTTATTGATGAAAATAGAAAGAAAATAACAAAAATAATGTTGTCAGCATCGTGCTATTATCTAAGGTTACAATTTTAGGTGACGCAAATATTGAAGTCCACTTCAAATTTTGGAATTAAACTTCATCAATCACCATTCAACTTTATTTTTACCATGATATATCAGTCTAAGTCTTCAATTTTTTTTTTTTTTGCTTTTTTAGAGCTTCAAATTTGTTGGGAATAACGTTCTTTCCCGCTTCGTGAAGCTTCGTGAAGTTAAGATAGGCACTTAGAGATTAAAGGATAGTAAAGAGAGCATAAGAGTATAATTTTCCAATATGGAGATTCTTCCACTATACAAAAAATAGTAGGATTACAAGGATGTGTTCGTAAAATTTGACTCACACTTGGTAGCTCACTCAAGCTTGAGGATAAAGACTTCTCAAGTTATCTTTCTTTTCTCTCAAAGAAACTCTCTAACTCTCTAGTTTTTCACTCTAAGAAGTGGACTCTCTTAGTGTTTTTAGATTTTGGATGGTTAGGAAAGAAGTCTCTCACCCCTATTTATACTACTCCACCTCCACAATGAATGGTGGAGATTACTTACATCCAAGGGTGGAGGTTAATTATCTATAATGCTCAACACACTCTAAGAATCTCTACACTCTTCCACTTCCTTCCATACTCTTCCATAAGGTTCCACACATCTCCAAAATATTTCAGAGGATTTCACACTTTTCCACAAGCTTCTAGAGAGTTCTACACTTCACTAGAGTTCTCCGGAATGTTTTAGAAAATTCTACACTTCTCCAGAAAGCTCTAGAATTTTCTAAAACCTCTCCAATTAAGGAGGGATCCAACAAAATTTTCAATTCTTTGTTGAATTACAATTAAAAGATAATTATTTTTATACTAATAATATTTGTTTTTATTTTTTTTTATCAATTTGATAATGTAAAAATGGATAAAATAATTCACGTTAGCTTAACATTTATATTATTTTTGTATTAATTTAATTTAGGAAAAAAAGTTTTAAAAAGTAATGATATAAATAAAGATAGATGACTAATATTCTTTAAAAAAAAACTTTCAAAAAATATTTTTACTAAAATTGTAAACTATTTTTCATTCATTTCTTGTAATATGAGAAGTGCTTTTAGCTATAAACACAAATTTGTAAAGCAGCAAACATTAAGGCCTAAGCGTCAATATACCCGTAGGCCAACACAACAACTGCTATCTAACTAATTCATCCCATGAAAAGATATTATGCGATTAATCATTTTCAGCTCTTAACTTTTGAAAATTGTCATTAATAACATTCCATATCTAATTAACAGGTTAGCACTTGTAAATTCTAAATTTTGCAATATGGTAGTTAAGCATCCTAATTTCTTTAATACGTAGGATAAGAGTTTAATATAAAATTCATGAAAAAAACTTGAATTTCATCATCTTTAATATCATTTTAATTTTAATTGATGCTAACTCTAAAAATTCAATTTCATATAATCCTATATTTTCCTTTCATATATATAGGTATATATAGCTGTATGTAGATCCTAATCAAAGTTAGGTAGCCATTTAAAATTTAGGCTAATTTTGTCCATAGGCTTATGTTAGACATCCCTAACCTAGCCACACACAATTTGACAGCGAGTCCAAATGTCTAATTGATCTCAATTAAGAATTATTATCCCCTGCGGGGGCGTACAACTTGATATATATATATATATATATAAAAGTAATATGAACATTTTCATACAAAAAGTAATAAAATTCACACAAGGCAAATAATTGACATGTTAAAAATATATGATACCTTAGATGGAATCGTGAGAAAATAATATATAAATTATAAGATAATGGCACCATTGTTATACTACGTGTTTCCGCTTCCAGAAATGGAATCAGACAATAGGGTCTTAGATGATATAATGAATTATTGACAGCAAAAACACAAAAGGATATCTAAGAGCTCATCAGTTGGGAGGAGATTATATGCCTTATTTTATGCATTATAAAAGGTGATCTGATTTAGCTAGAAAAGAAAACTAATAATTGAATAGGAAATAATTATAAGATAATGTATGACACCTCATCCTAGTGCAGATGCAATTAGATACCAACAGTTGGAAACTTGACGAGTCAAATGGGGTTTAAGGATTCATGGCAGAGGTTTTAAACTTTGGAGGACTACTCTGTCTTCGCCCATTTTCAAGCACCGAAAAGCCCAAGTCCAATGTGAGTTTCAAGTTCTATGCATAATACATACACCCAAGGGCAAATTAAAACAGGTTTAAATTTTATTATTATGAGAAAATAAAATCAAACATTTTTGTTTCTTACACGCATCTTGTCACGAATAGTTGCAGAAAAATATGGGAATGATAAATTTACAGCCAACATCACTGGAATGGCTGTTATGAACACCGCGTAAACCAGATCATGGCATGATGGGGCAGAATGCGACCGTGGAGTGATTGGCAATGTGCAAGCTGAATTGCCCTCCTTTTTCACTCACATCGATTTTATCAGTTCCCGATGGAGTTTTCAGTTCAAAATTCGACACTAATTTAGCAACGACAAGCCCCAGGATGGGAAGCGCGAGGATGATTCCAGGACAGCTTCGCCTTCCAACACCGAACGGCAGATATCTGAAATCAACTCTCCCACCAGCCACGGCGGCGTCTATGCCTTGTTCTTCTTCCATGAACCGCTCTGGCCTGAACTCCTCTGGGTTTTTCCACCATTCGGGGTTGTTGGCTAACCACCAGGCATTGACTACCACCTTGGACTCCCTGGGAATGGTGAACCCACCGAGCTTCGCTTCTTCGAGGTTCATGTGAGGAACCAACAATGGGATCGGCGTGTGCAACCTTAATGACTCTTTCACCGTTGCCTGCAAGTAGGGCAATTCATGGAGGTTTGATTCCGTCACAGGCTTCCCATTTAGGACTCGCGAGATTTCTTGACGAATCTTGTGCTGAACGTCGGGATGATTCACCAACTCGGCTATAACCCACTCCATCGACCACAATGTTGTTTCGATTGCCGCGACGTTGATGTTCTCGACGATATACAGCACGTTTTCTTCGCTAATCTCTCCTTTCATTTGAGCGTCTATAATATGATCAATGGCACAGCTTATCTTGTGGTTCTCCCCGTTAGCCGCCATTATTTCCCTTCTTTTGGCAACGTAATAGTTGTTGAAGAATGCCAGCCTTCTTTGCTGCAAATCCCTGCACTTGTTCAAGTACCCTCGTAAGAAGGGTCTCAGCAATGGAATGAAATCACCATAATTGTATTCGAAACTCTGAGCCAACCGGCTTCTCTCCGAGTTAAATCGAGTCGCCTCGATGAACAAGGGATCTTCCTGAGACTCAAACTTGGCATCAAACATCATCCTATACATGATATTATAAAGCATCAACTGCAAACGTTTTCTGATAACAACCCCATTGCTCTTCACATTCTCATCTCTCTTCAAATCATTAACCACCAGATCCATTTCTTCTTCCCACATGTTACTGTAATGGTGCACGACTTTGTTAGTGAAAAACGGCAGCGTCATGATCCTACGCATTTTGCGCCAATGATCTCCGTAAACCGTGAACACCATGTCCTGTCCGTTGCCAGTGAAGATGTCAAAAACGACATTACGTGGCCTTGAACCGAACTCGACTCCTTGCGTGTGCAGCACCTGGGTGGCCAACTCAGGGTCCGATACGACCGTGAGATTCTTGGAGCCGAGTTTGAGGAGGAAAACCGGACCATAGGTTTGGGCCATGGAAGCGAGAAGTCGGTGGTTAAGGTCATTCCCAACTTGAATCCAGTTTCCGAATATCGGAAAAGGGAAAGGACCCGGAGGAAGAGAAGTGGAAGAAGACTTGAAAAAGACGTAATAGACAGCAAGTGGCACAACAATGGTTAAGACATTCATGTAGAGCTGAGGGTACAGCATTTTGGTTAGGGCAAGCATAAGTATGGAAAGAGTTATAATCATAACTGGTTTGTTAGACATGTTTAAGGATTGGTAAGAAACAGAGATTAAATTGAAATGGGTTGCTTATGGTGTGGAGGAGACAATTTGTGTATATATACAATACGGTAGTGGATGAAGTTGGTAGAAGAGTTGGTGGGTTGCCCAATGGTTTGTGGAGAATCCATGGGCTGATATTGTGTTTTGCAAATCAAGGTAGGAAAGGATTTTCAAAGTTCAGTTGGTTGGTGAAAGGGAGGGCGTTCAACGTCAATGTTGTCATTTCCTTTTGACAAGTTGTGTGAATAAGACTTCTGGGGAATGTCGCTTCAATCTTCTTATTATTAATACCCTCATAATCTCCGTAAGCGACCAAAATCAATGCAAAAGGTAAAGAAATAGGAACCAAAACATATAATTAAAATTAACTTTATCTACTTAAATTATTTAAACATATTTAATTTAATTAAAACGTTTTAATTAAATTAATTAACCTAATCAGTTTCAACAATTAAATTAATTGATTATCTATTATCAAAACCTAAACCGATTCATAATAAATAACCTATACCCAACCCAATCCCAAAATTTTTAATAAAATAACTCAATCCAAAATCTAAAATATAAACCCAAATCAATTGTCCAAATAGTTAAACCCAATGCTTCCACATATATGGGAAATCTTTTGAAATCTTTTGCGCTTTTTTTACTATGTTGTTTTTCATGAGATATCGTTGTTTGGGGTGTGTTTGTTTGCCGTAAAATTAATTACGGAATTAGTTTTCTCCGAAATCTCGTGTTTGTTTCATGTAATTCATTTTTTGGAAAATATTTTCCGTGTTTGTTTCACGTAATTCGTTTTCCGAAAAATGTTTTCTCGTGTTTGTTTCACGTAATTCGTTTTCCGGAACGTAATTCATTTTCCTAGTAACAGAATTTTCTTTGTGTTTTTTTGTAAAATGACTTACAGATTCATTTTCCGTAAGTCATTTTCCGAACTTTTTACTTCAAAGCAAAAATAATCAAAATAATTTTATTTTATGAATTTAATATTAATAAAATATTTTAATATCATTTTCATCAAAATATTAATTATTAAAATATTTAAAATATATTTATTAATATTTATAATATATAATATTATATTTTAATATTATATAAAATAATCAATTATATTATAATAATATAAGATATTATATTTTTATTTTAATAATATATAATAATTTTTTTATATATTTAATAATGAATAATATTATTTATATATTTAAATAATATCTTAGTAAATATATTTAAAATATACTAATTAATATTTTTAAAATATAATATAACACTATTACTTTAATAAATAATTAATATAATTTATAATATTTTATTTCACTAAAATATACCAATATTAATATTTTTATTAATAAAATTATAAAAATAATATTTAATAATAAATAAATTATTTTAATATTTTAAAATAATAATATTAAGTTTTATGATAAATAATATTATTTATTATATTTAATATTTGTAATAAATAATTTTTAAAAAACTCTTCAACTAGTGGAAAAAAATGTTTAAATAACATCTTCCAAACATCATAAAACGTTTTCCAGATGTTTTCCATAAATGTAATTCATTTTCCAGAAATGTAATTCATTTTCCAGAATTCAAATTCCAGTAATTCAAATTCCATTAATTCAAATTCCGGGAAACCAATTACAGCCAAACAAACAGACTCAGTTTAACTTCTTCTAATTAGAAAGCAAAACATTATTATAGTTGTTAGGTGACTCGTTTTTTTTTTCAATTCTAAGTTACCTAAATCAAGTTATTTGATTTATTTGAGTCGACTCAAATTATTGAGTCAAATTAAAATTTGAAAATTTTGAGTCACTTGAAAAACAAAAATCTAGTTGAGTATTTTGACAGTTTTGTTATTTAATTCATGATTTTCTTATTCTTTCAATTCCGCCTTTGTTTTAAGTTCATTTTTATCAAATTTGAATAACGTGTTTCTAAACCATTATAAAAAACCTATATACTTTTAATTCATCTTTTTGATAATTGTTTTTTCTATTTTTCAATTTAGTCCTCAACCTTTCATGATTTCCTTATCTCTTCAATTAATCCTTCATTTTAAGTTTTTTAATCAAATTTGAACACATGCACCTATGCCACTATAAAATATCTATATAACTTCAATTCCTATTTTTTTGTGCTAAAAATGTACTCTCTTATTTAATTTAGCCATTTAACTTTGTATTTTATTCAATTTGGTATTTTAATTGTAATTGTTTACAAATTCTTTATTCTCATCAATTCATTGACTCCTTTATACTTTAATCAATATTATACCTTCAAATACATTCTTTAAAATATAATATTATAAGTATATTTTATCATTTTAGATTGTGTTTAATATATTAAATAATGTTATAATACGAAGAAATATATATATATCTGTATAGTTAGAGAAAGTAAAAAAAATCGAAACCATTTTGTATCATAATACTATAAATAATTATAATTAAATTTATATATAAACTCAAATAACTCGACTCGACTAAACTCGAAAATTTTTCAAGTCAACTTCGTGTCATAAAATACAATTCATTAACTTGAATAACTTGAAATTTGTTGACTCGACTCCGTCGAATGCTCACTCCTAATTGTTGTTGTTTACTATATTGCATGCATGTTTTTGTCGACTCTAGTGAAACTAGTAGTACTAATTTTAGAACTGCTTTCGGGACAAAACATCTTAAAGAAGAGCTCTGTTTTATATTCAATTGTATCTGAAATTTTTGGCTTATTGAGGTTTCTACTTTCTTTGATTCATCGCGATAAGCAAGATTTTAGGTGGATTAAACAATGCTAATGCAGTAATTAAGTTCTACCATGTTATATTTATTAATATGCAAGCATGTTAATATATGGTGTTTGCGTGTCTCAAACAATTTAGAGCTAAATCAAATACTTCAGGTCAATCCAATTAGATCAAACTTTTTATATTTTCTGCCTGTGTAATTGTTACTCGAATCATAAATACTTGATTCAGAAGGAAAAAAGGCTGTAGCATTCCAGCTCGGGAATATTGTTTTTCCAAATTTACTCTTGCTCTTTTTATGAACATTTATTCTTTATTTGGGTTATACAGCCAATAGGAGTATATATAGTTGGGGATTTCCTGACAAGAAAAGAGGATTTGCAGGTGGTAAGCCTACAACAACTGTTGATGAAGGTTTTATCATTCATACTTTATATCTTTCAGTGTTTGTCATGATTCATCTTTTGCCAACATCAACGCACTACAAACTCTATTTGAACACAGAATTTGAGGTTTTCCTGTTGTTGATGATGATCGGAAATTGGTATGTTACCTAACCTTTAATGTTGGTCATGAGATTTTAACTATTCATTAGCTCTAATATTTGGAATTGTTTATAGTATCATGACATTTCCAGATAAGTGGAATTGTTACATATGCATCGTTCCACTAGGCCCATGGCCCAAAAGTGAGTGTTAGATTACAGTCCTTCCTTTCTCAATCCTTAAAACTTTTTGGTGAGCATATACTGGGGGAAGCAAAGATGGCTCTGCTCATATGATGACCTTTTTGTGCTTTTTTGCATCTCCTTTATATCAACTCATTATTGCTTCCACATTCCAATGTCTCAAGTGTTGTCATTTATATACCTTCTTTTTTCCATCATGCAGTCATTTGCTGCAAATTCGTATCTGTTTTTTCTGTTGGTAAATCTGCTTTATCTTTTTGACCTGATAAATTTTAACTACAACTTTTTGGAATAATTGGAATTGGACCATGTTATCTTACTGCTGCAGGTTGGACTTGTTTCTGATTATGACTTGCTAGCATTGGACTCCATATCTGGTATTTTGAAGTTATCTATTGAATTCCACTTTGACTTTATATATTTTTTTACTTTGTATATTATCGACTATTTGTCTACTCGGTATAATTCCACAACTATATTTGAAGTAGACAATTTTATCTGGTATAGGCATAAACTGCAGTATAAGTTTTTATTACTTCCATTTTCTCGTGGTTTTAGGAATTCTTTTTGTTGATAGTATAGCGTGATCTAGTCTTGTTAACCCGAGATGTAAGTTTTTTTATATGGCAGTTTCCTCCGGAATATTGTCTCTTCTTTATTCTTGCCAAACTAAGTGAAAGTAGTAGGCACCGACTGTGTTTAACCAATATCTTTATAACATAATTTGTCACTTAATTTATGTCATAACTTATGATAATAATATACATTAAAAATATGTGCCCCTAATTATAGATTTTAATCCAACATTTGTTGTTCTCTGAACCAGGGCTGATGACTGAGAATGACTTATTTCCTGAAGTTGATAGCACTTGGAAGGTATGTGAAAACTCTCTTCGCGAAATAGATGCAACCGAGGCCAATGTCTTTCTACATAGTTTTGTATTAATCATTGTCGAAACTTGTAATACCCTAAAAATTTAGATAATGACCAAAATATAAATTTTGAAAGTTTAATGATCAAAGTAGAAAATTTGGGAAAGGTTTAAAGAATTAAGTGTTAATTTTCCCAAAAAGAATATTATTCCACAAATGGATTTATTTAGTGACCAAATTATAATTTGGTAAAGTGTGGTGACCAAAGTATAAACTTTAAAAAGTTTAGGGACCAAAATGTAATTTTAAAAAATTACATATGAGTCACGAAAATAAGTAATAAAAATATTATTTTCACATTTTTAAAATATTGGGAAAAAATATTTAATGGTTTAATTTCATATTCAATTTGGATTGTTTGATTAAAGTGACTGAATTGTAATTTTTGGGAATTATAAGGGCAAAACGGTAAAGTGGAAAACTAATTTGTTCATCTTTGACTTTTGAAAGATGACAAGGCTGATATTTATCTGATTTTGAAGATGATAAGGATATGTATCTTGGTTTTATGGTAATTATGAAGTTATATTAAGGGTATATTGGTATTTTCTCAAGTTAATGATTTAAATAATATTTTTAAAGGATGTTAAGCATGATATCAATAAAAAATATCATGCCAATGTTCATCTTCTCGAGCATCTTCACGTGAGAA